GGTTATAGTTACCAAATTATGTGTTGAGGGAAATATATTTAACTGAGCTTTTTCTGTGTATGAACTGTTTTATAGAAAAAGAGTAAATCTTAAAGAATTTTGAGTTGTGATAGTTTTTGATGTAGGGTTGGATATGTATGTATAACATCGATATATTGTAGAAATCTTGCAGTCGTATGATTCTAGGTATGTATGTATGTAAGTACATAGTACATATGTCTGTTGTTCAATCCAAACGGAGGAGCTATGTATTTTTATGTACATACATATGTATATGTAGCTATGTTATTGTAGTAGTTGCCTTCAGTCCATCGGACGTGTAGTCAAATTTGCTTCCAATTAATTATTTAAAAAATGCTTAAATGTCCTCTGTTATTTCTTCCTTGATGGGAGTTTACTTAACATTGGACTAGTATAATTATAAAATTTCGTGTTCGAAGCGATTGTTCTTTTCCGTTTTCTTTTGTGCGTGTATGTGTGTGTATACATCGTAACCCAGCAAGCATTCATTTACGTTTATCATACTACATATCGTCGCTCGAGTAAAGAAACAGTGTAAATGCCACATACACTATTATTCGATAATTGCACCATTGGATAGACAATCCTTTAATCTATTAGAAAAATCGTTTATTTTTTCAAATATCTCTTTGGCTCACTAATTTATTACCGAAAAACCAAATTGTATTTGTATGGTTTGTAATGGTTTATAAAAACTTCCAATTCGTTTTTCTCAAAACTATACTTTTCACATTACACTATTTCATTATTCCTGCGACGATATGTAAAAATGATTCAAAACCAAGAACTTTTTAAATATCAAAACTTTTAAAAACGGTTTGAAAAATACAACTTTTCTTCTTTAGGAAAGGGAGATCTCATGGATACCAATATCAAATGTTCTACATCAAAAATATTTCAAACAAATTCAAAAATAAAAAACAAAAACTTAAGCTAACAAATAAACATGATTGGAAAAGTCAGGCCAATAATGATTTTGCAATGGCTCAAATTCTAATATATTCTAAATAAAGATTTTTATATCAAGAAAAATTAAAAGGAGCATTTTCAAAAAATTTTACTTCATAGTTTTGATTAGCCATAATATCTCGCCATAATCGAATTTTAGTTTTTCTGGCCATTTCATAATGTTTCATATAAATTTTTTATTTCAGCGTTTCATTATTTTCATGATGCTTCTAATTTTAATTTTCTTCTGCGTTTTGTAAACTAAATACTCATCTTTATTTAGGGCATAGTTTCAATTCAGTTAATTTTTACATTTATGGTTTGTTGCGTAGTTATTTTATTTATTTTTACTGGAGTTGTTTTTTTAATCGAACTTCGATTAATCGAGATCTTCCGACTCAAATGAATGGGAAATCTAATGTTCAATGCGATCTTTGTGTTCAAGGTGATAACGAATTCTTCCAAAAGATGAAATATATCTACATATTTAAATACATAAAAAAAGAATTTTTCCAAAGGTAAAAAAATAATTTAAACGTTCGCGTCGTTGCCGATTCTGGATGTGTTAACGCACAGCCGTAATTTTTTTTGTATACGTGAATGTTTTTTTTTTTTAATTCTGATCCATAAATCTTATGTACACTTGTATGTACATGTGTTTCATGTCTCTTGTTTTTGGTTGTTCATAAACATGAACCACCGGTGGTACGTGACGGCTCACGAAAAAGCTGGTCATATATAGTAAAAATTAACCTACAGGCTTCAGACTTGGAACACAAGCTTCTTTATTGAACATAATTATAATTATAAAGTGTTAATATAAAACAAAATCCTCCCACAAATGCGCCCACTACCCATGTAACGGAATTTTTTAAAAACTCTAAATGTAATATTTCGGAAGCTCTAGCAAAGAAACCAAAGGCAATAGAACCTTCCACTTAGCCTTAAATTAAAGGTAGAACTCTCGACTACTGTCGTTGAAAATGCCAGCCCTGCATCTTGACCAAAAGGTCACTTATAGTCATTTATTGAACAGCAAAAACTTATTTTAACAAAATTTTTTTCCAATATTTTTTTATTGTTCAATAAATCTTAAAGCTGTTTTTGATAGAGCTTTTCATGTTGATTACAAGTCCGCAATTATAAAGTTTTCATCTCATCCAGATTTTGAGAAAGACGAGGTCAATGTGTCAAAAAATCATCAAAACGAAAAATAATTTTTTTGAAATATTTGAGAATCTCTAGTAGAGAAAGAAAACGTGATAAAAACTTTCACCTATGCTTAAATTAAAGCTGAAACTCTTGAATACTGTTCCTGAAAATACCACCCCTGCATCTTGATCGAAAGGTCACTTATACATAGTCATTTATAGCACATCAAAAACTGATTTTGACAAAAAATTTTATTCCAATATTTTTGTGTTGTTCAATAAATGACTATATATGACCTGATGGAAACTTTATACTTAAGGATTCAAAATCAGCACAAAAAAGCCTATTAAAAACAGCTTTAACATTTGCCGCACCAAAATCAGTGGTGCCCTGTGTAAGCTTTCCGCAAAACACAATGAGCACTGTATTATTTTATTTCGCCATTCAATCGGGAACTACAACAGAACTTGGACGAATCTGGTTACTTTCTTGTTGTTTTTGCTATTATCTTCTATTATCTTCAAAATGCAGAATATCCCGATCTCTCGCGATCACAACTTTTTCAACAACCAAATGAAAAAAATATTCTTATATATTTTTTTTTGAGACAGCTTTTACAATTAATTTTTAGATAGTTGTGTCAAAAATTTAAATTTAATGACTTAGATTATTTAAGATACCGTCAGCTACGCTCTCTATCTCGCAAAAAATAATTAAGTGTTTGAACCACTATTTTAAAATAAAATAAATAAAATTTTAAGTGGGATTAGCAAGTTCAAACTGCTCTAGTAAAGAAGATACAAAAAAAGGGTGCCTTATACTTTTCATCCACTACAATGGACCTTCATCTTGACAAATTACCATGTTTTTCAACAGTCGGACAACTTTGATTTTCGGAATACTGGCAAGCTTTTTCGTGATGTCTCCCACTGTGCGGCTGTGACATATATTTCTTACCCAGGGACGTCAAATACTACCAGTGGCCACGATGTAAAAGGTAAATACATTGATGTCTAAGTATCTCTGTTTTGTTTCAGAAAATTAATAAATTTCGATTTTTTTTGCGTCCTGTAACAAATTAAGTTTGCTTGAATAAACTAGTATTAGGGGAGCTCAAAATTTGTAGCATTTAAGGTGTAAAGTTGCTACATATGTATGTAGACTGCTTTTGGAGAAGCAACAAAACGCGTGCTAAATTGTTACGTAGAACCTTTATACCAAAAATGCTACAAATCGTGAACTGCCGCATTGAAAATACTCCTTAAATCCGGTTTTTTAGTAGTTAGTCCAAAATACTTAGATAATAAATGCAAAAATGATCCGACTTAGAACCGAATGTACCGCCCTTACGTACAGCCGTTACTTCTTTTCCAAGCTTCTTGTGCCATAACGTTTTTAAATAGGATTAAACATAAAACCAACAGTGTGCCGCATGTGGTACACGACGTCGCGCATGTGTTTTTTACTTTAAGGAAAATTTACTAAATAACGGATTACCGCTGGAAGCAAGTGCAACCACAATCTAATTTTCTTATATACTTATATTTCCTAATATATTCTTGTGACATTAATAACAAAAACAGTTCCATAAAAAATACTTGACTACTCAATTTTTGAATCTTCAACTTTCTAAACGAAATTCAGATAAGGAAACAAAAATCATTTGTTTTGGTTTTTTGTTTTTTTTTTTTAACTTTATTTAAGTTTTTATTATGCCAAACCGAAAGAAGCACGCGCCCTTTGAGGTTCTCGATTTCGAGTACATTTCTCCCATTCAATTTGATTAGCTAAATTTTTCGATATGTCGACATATGCATGTACTACTGTGCAAATGAACCGAAATGTAACCATACACAGAGTGCTGCTATAGACATAACCATTGCAATCGGCTGTTCTGATCAAACGTAACGAAGCTCTCTAAACGATTATTTGTGACATTCCTTAACACCACGGCCATAATCATAACCGCAATAATTCGCATAAAGCTGAAAATTGGTACAAGTGTTGCGAACATCATTACAAATGGGATGCAAAAGGTCCCATCGATCCCACATCTGCTAAAAATTTATTCAAGGTCAAAGGTCACATAAATTGATATTTTTAAATTTTCAGCCAAAAAGCAAGGTTTATCATAAAAAAGGTTACACAAAAGTGTAGGGAGGAAACGATACCATGCAGGTATCGACACTTTTACTTGGAAGTAGTATCGAAAGAAAGTATCGAAAAATATCGGATCTAAAGTATCGATACCTACTCGTATCGATAATTTTGCCTATGAAGGCAATACGTATGAACTAAAGTACTTACTACATATAAATAGTCTCAATCAAAGCTCGTTTGTTGATCACCCCGATTGCTTGTTTTCCTCACAACTCAAGGAAAAGTTCAATTTATTCCCTGTTTCACTGTGATTACTTTTTTCTCCTAAATTAAGAATTTTAAATATATTTGAACTTAATATTTTATTAAAAATTATTATCTTACAGTTTCGCTTAAAAATGCAAAAAAAAAACAATATATGTGACCTTGAATAATTTTGTTTGCAGATGTGGGATCGATGGGGACTTTTCACATTTTATTTTTACCGGTGTTCCCAACATTCGTACCAATTTCCAGCTCAATGCAAATTATTGTGTGTTTACATCACTTACTTATTTTTTTAGCTAACTTGACTGCGCTTCTAATAAAAGACAAAATATGTACATACATATGTAATTCCTTATTAATTTGATCAACAAGATTTTCTTCATAGATACATACATATATGAAGACTGCGAAGACAAATAATACGACATACTACATATATTATTAGTTCTGTTCTGTTTCATTAGGTGGTTTTTTTCTCTATGCACTATTACTAGAATAGCAAAAGCAATCCGTGTGATTTCACTCGAAACCGATTTGAGAAAATTTGTGAAAACCAAGTTAGGCCTGGGGCGTATTTCATAAAGGGACAGTGACTATTTTGTCACGACAGGCATTTACCGTATTGTCAGTGAAAATTCGACAGTTTGGTGGATGTTTTGTTTCATAAAAACAATTGTCACCGTTTGAATTCCATGTTTTTTCAAAGTTGTCGGCAGTCATATGAAATTTAGATATAATTCATATGTAATCATTGCATTTCCATTATTTTAGTTTTAAGAAATATTTAAATTATTGAAGAGCAATGAAATTCGCGTAATTACCATATACAAAATTGGAAAATTCTCCTGTGAAAACTTTTAAACGGAGCTATTTAGTTTTGTCGGTCCAGGCGTCTATGAAACAGAAAAAATGTCGGCGACAATTCTGGCTCTGAAACTTTCCGGAAAAATCTGCAATGGTCACTTTTATGAAATAGTTCCTGGTATTTTTCTTCGAAACGTTCGAAATCATGTTTGCTGAGTATGCGTGTATTAGTATGTACTATGTATGTCTGTTTTTTGTGTGTGTATATATTTTGAGTGTTTGATGTTTTCGCTTCTCTTTCTTTTGTTTCATTCTATTTTTTATTAGTTAGTTTGTAGTTTTTAGTATTTTAAATTCGTGTCTCAGTTTGTAGTTGTTTCTGTTGATGCTGTATTTGTTGTGCAGCATCAGTGAAGGCATTCACCGCGCGCTGAGCTGTCTGTGAATGGCCATTGATGGCGGCAGCCGTCCCATGCCCCACTAGCAGATTGTAACGTTGCTGCAATTGCTGCTGCTGCGGCTCTTCGTCGATGTAGGTGATGTCTGAGAGCAGGGCGGCCGCCGTCGTAGACCCATTGCCACCACCAGGCTGATTATTATTTTTATATTGCTGGTGTTGCTGCGGGCTATTAGTACGCTGTTGTTGCTGGTGCGCATAATTAGGATTAAGCAGGTTAGAATTATACAGCGGATAACCGGGGATCGTGCCGCGTGGACTGCGCAAGCTATGCAACGATCGGCGCTCGTTCAAGTCTTCCAATGTTGAGCGGAATGCACGAATAACGCGTAACTGAAACAAATAAAATTAGACAACAAACAAACAAACGAACGTACGAACAAACATCGCAAAAAAAGAACGAAAATGAAAAAAGAAAAATGAAACGAAAAAGAAAAAAAATAAATTGATTAATTGTTTGGTATTTGGGAATTTAAAAAAGATGCAAAATGCAAAATATAAATAAGGAGATAATCAATAAAAACAAAATGTAAATAAAAACTTTGTAAATTAATTATTTGTTAATTTCATATCACTTTTTATTTAAATATCATTATCTTAAACTTGCACATATGTATGTATGCACATATATACATATGTATGTAATATGTTTGTATGTTTCTAAGCTGTACTATATACGATCGCAGCTAGTATATGTAGGTGAATGCAAATATCTACAGTGTTGTGCAAAACAAAAGCAACAAAATTTAGTTAGATTAATGCTGTTCTCTGTACTCCTTTCAAAAAACAATTTAAGCAAAATTGTATTATTATTTCTTAAATACCCAAAAGCGCTTTAAAATAAACGTAATATTTGTACCACTTCTTGGTGAAAAAAATAGAATTAAAAACAAAAACTGGTCCACACTCGGTTGGCATATGTGCATAACAAAAGTAACAAATCAATATTTTGAATAAGAACCCTTATTCTTAGTTACATCAGTGAATCTCCCGAGGCATTGATGCTAGTAAATGTTATCTATGATTCATCTTTATTGCAAAGGTGTGGACCGGAAACCCTCCTCTTTCTCAACGTTCTATTGTTTTCACCAAGAAGAGGTAAATGTATTACATTTATTTTAAAGCACGGTTTTTTGAATTAAATACAGCAATATAATTAATTTGATGGTTTTATATATGTATACGCATACATACATAAAAGAATACTTAAATGTACACAAGTCATAAAGTTAAATAAAACTAAAACAGTGACTTCTGCGTGTATGGACGTAAACATACGGCTTCTGCTCTATTTTTTTTAAATTTAATACTGTACATATGTATGTTTGAGTGTCCAATTTGTATCATTAAATATTTTAAATGATTTGATTGAGGGGAAATTGCCAAATCGCGCTTATTTTTTTATATGTACACTAGGGTGGTCCAAAAATGTATGAGGAAAAAGTAAAGTCGGAATTTTTATGCTCTCACCCCCTAGGATTGTTCTATACCGAAAAAAGTATACCCCTATTTTTTTTTTGGAATCAAAAAATATTTAGAGGTCGCTCATAGCGCTCAAAATTTTCCATGCATTTTTATATGGGGAGAAAACAACTTTTCGTAGAAATGGTATAGAATTCTTAGTCAATATTTTTCGATCTAAAAACTCTGCTTCTGTGCAGGAGATTTCCAATAATAATACCCGATTGTCTAGTTAACCATTTATTATCGTAACTAATAAAAAATCGTTTGTATAAAAAAATAGTTAAATAAATAATTGGGTATTGTTATTGAAAGTCTCCTGAAGAGAACCAGAACTTTCCGATCGAAAAATATTGATTTTCAAGAATTCTATATCATTTCTACGAAGTGATTTTTCCCCATATAAAAATACATGGAAAACATTGAGCGCTTTGAGTGACCTCTAAATATTTTTTGATTTCAAAATAAAAAAAAGGGGTATACTTTATTTCGATATAGTACAATCCTAGGGGATGAGAGCATTACAATTCCGACTTTACTGTTTTTGGTCCACCCTAATGTACACACATAACCATGCATATGTACATAATACATATTAGGGCTGGGACTATCCGTATACTCGCATATCCGGTCATCTGTGTGGATATTCGCGTGTACGAATAAAATCCGGATATCCGGTTAATATCCGTTTTATTTTGTTATCCGAATATTCTAATGCCGAATTTCCACTAGGCATTGAAATGACAAAAAATTAGAGGTATTTAAAGAGTGCCATGTGGAAATGAATTTAATGACTATGTTTTTAACGTAATGACACGAATATTTTTTAATGCCCAAGTTTGCCAATAAAATATTTGCCATTTAATGCCTAGTGCATATCCAGCATAAGCAGTGTTTGAACGGGTTAATAAAATTGTTCTCAAAATAACTGAATCTATTGAATTGAAAAATAAATAATAGCATACTTCATTAATACACAAACAATAGTCATTTTTAGATTCGAAAATCTGGATATCCGATTAAAAAACCTGGATAGAACTCCCAGCCCTGATACAAAAGAAGCAGGGTTAGAACTACGGCAAGACCAAATTGGAGCAAAAGACGTCAATAATTGTAGCAGAAAATAAAATTACCATCTACTTTACCCATTACACCTTCGACTCTACAACTTAAAGTCAATCTCTTTTTAACCAAAGTAAGGAACCATTTGAATTTTTAATGACAGTTATCCTCTCCTGTTTCAAGCAAGTGTTGTATATTTTGGCGAACGAGTGGCAAAAATTATCTTAAAAATTACGTTCCAACTATTATTATCGTGGAGAAATTATGAAAGTTATGCCATTTCCCAGAACGAATACCTTCAAGATGCATATTTATATTTAGGTATACATACATAAGTAGTATGTGCTACATGCAAAAATGAAAATTAATCGAATCTTATTTATATTATACTTTAAAATTAAAAGTAAATGCTCTTGTTAAATGAAAAAAGAGAAACAATTGTACTTCTTAATTTTTTGAGTTCAGTTATCGCAATAAGAGCACTTTGTTACTTTCGAACGAAAATCGTAGCAGATCGTAGGTAAAGTGGGGTAGGGTAGTAAATTTCAAATTTTATCGAAGCCCGTAGTAAATCTACCACGATTGTAGTGAATCTCTAACCTTGATAAGGCGCTGCCTACATGCATATGATGTATCTATTTTATACGCTTAGTTGCATATACATACATATACACATAATATTTAAAGGAAAAAATAACATAAATAAACTTTGAACATAACAAAACGTAAAACTAGTTAGTTAGCGTAAAAATAGTCATAAAAATTGGCATACAAATATTGGTAAAATTAGGCGAAAAAATAAGCGTCAATGCAAATAAACAAAAATATTTTTTAGCACAACAACAAAAAACGGAATAGCTAAACCAAAAGTGTATGTATTTTATATGGATTCATAGTGACCATTGTGGGAGTGAACAAGGTCTTGTATACTGTCGTATTGTTGTAGGAAGAGCTGGGCACTTAGGATTACGATTACATTTTGATTACTTAGGACCGTGATTAATAATAATAATAATATATTGGCGCTTACACATATGTTAGTGCTTGGGCGAGCTTCTCCTCCGATTTGTGGTGTGCGCCTTGATTTTGTCACACAAAGAGGAGGGACCTACAGTTTTACGCCGGCTTCGAACGGCGATTGTGTTTTTCGTGGCAGAAATACACTCGGAGGTTTGCCATTGCGAGGGGATTGCGATTACTGGAAATGTAATCCAGGAAACTTTTAGCATTCAGATTACTGTAATTGTAATTATAAAATGCTTAATTGCGAATGCTTTAATTGTAATCCCTAAAATTTAACGATTACTACTACGGTAATCGTAATCGTACTTTTTATGATTACGATTACGGTAATCGTAATTCTCAAAATCCTAAGATTACAATTACAGTAATTGTAGTAATGGAAATGAGGATTACTAATACAGTAGTAGTAGTTGTTAAATACTTAGGATTACAGTTAATGCATTAGGGAAGGAAATAACGCATAGTAAAAATGAATAATTTTTATTTGACTATCGTTTAAAAGTGTTCGTGCTTAAGAATAATACTTTCGTACCAAAATTTAGCACGCACATATTTGAATGCCCACATCTCAGTATAGACTGAAGGGAAAAAATAGTAAAATCAAACAAAACCGTATTTAAATCAAATGAAAACGTTTTCAAAAGTAGTGTATGCATAATGAAAATATTCAATTCAAATACGCCTGTATTAAAATGAAGCATTTTGCACTTCACAGATGGCGTTTTGCACCTCACGAATGCTTTTTCATAATTAAGAAACTGTATGTATGCCAAGCAGAGTTGGGCACGGGACTAAATATTTAATCCTGATCCCGCCCACCCCGAAATTCGATTTTTAAGACCCGAACCCGCCCATCCCGACGTTTTTCAGAATTGTACCGCGAGTCCCGTGGGTCCCGATATCTACCTCTAAAAAATTTCAACGTGTGTGGTATGGTTTGCAAACCGATCGAGGGTTGACAAAAAAAATGTTCATGTCTTTCAAATTAATTTTAAATAATAAATATAATAATGAAAGATCTGGCATCTTCCGACTATTTTCTTTTGCTTTGCTGTTCGTTTTCGTCTCAATAAAACATTAAAAGTGCATATTTCAAACATCGTTTTTAAGGAAGATTTTGTGAATTTGCGGGGGTTACGGTTTTATCGGGAGTGTCGGGAAAGAATTTTGGTTCCGTCCCGCCCGCCATATTTTTACAGATCTTCCCGCTACCGCCCATCCAGGCCAATTTTAGATCAGTACCGTGGGTCCCGCTATCCCGCGCCCATCTCTAATGCCAAGCATGCACAGCGGTGAAAATTGTGTTAACACATAATCATAGCACTTGTGGTCAGCTCATTAAGTCAAGTGACATTTTGACTAGATTTGGCTATTTTTCGTTTCTTTATTTAATGTTTATATTTTTTTTATACCAGCGCCACATAAATTAATATTTCAAACTGCGTACCCAAATTATGAAAATTCAACAAACTTTAGGAATTGCACCCAAAACCTTTAAACTTTTTATTTAGAATTTTTAGAAAAATTTTGGGTATTCAGTTTTGTAGCTCATTAAATTTTAGCAGGTTAAAGTGCAAATTTCAAGACGCAAGAAAATGCCGTTGATTTTTTTTCAATTGACCACCTCGAAGTTGCGATTTGACGCCACACATAGGAGTATTTTTGTAATAAAACCGGTCAAAAGTCAGATTCATCAACTTTGCTAAAAACTGAGCACTGTTTCTTTTGATATTATATTTTAGTGGACCAATAAAAAAAAACCTATGAAGTATATATGAAAGAAGAAA